TAAGGGTATTAAATGTGTTTTAATGGCATTAGCATGAATCTTTTATTTGCTTTTGGCTTGTAACGGCACAAAGGCAATGCCGCTTGACGATGGCCAACAGACCGAGAGTCGAGGGCCCAGAGCCCAGAGCCAACACCCATTAGAATTCCGCCCACAGCTAATTTTCATGGATTTCGCTTAGCGAACGCCCTCTAGTTGCCACGCCCATCTCTGCTTTGCCTGCCGATGATAATCAACAATTGACGCTGCGGTTGATAAATGCCATTTGATTAATTTGTGGAACAACAGCTGGCTGGACATCGCCATCGCCATCGCCATCGCCATCATCATCAAAGGAATTGATTGCGTTACCCGCATATTTTGTGTCATCTGTGCCGTCGTCTGCTCCAGTGGCAAATGCAATAAACAATCATTTTTAATTGAGCAGCGACATCGAACACATCAAACAGGGCTCCATCATATGGCCACATCCACTGTTAACAGCGCCAAATACACACAAATTATAACAATACAGCTCGAGGCTGATGACGCTGCTCCGCTGCTCTGCGTCCGCGTCTGCAGTCTATTCGGACTGCATGATATTGATATGGATGACGCTTATCAGCAAACATTCTGAGTGACAAACACATTACATAACTTGGCTAACTGATCGAATTGTCAACAATTTCTACTCTATTCATGATTTTGTAGAGGATTCGTTCAGGTTCTGCATAGACTATTTAAAATAATATACAATATTATATATTATGATTGTTACAATATTATATGTTGGTTGATATATGATGATTGGCAAATAGTTGAATTTCATTTGTTTCATTTATATTGTAATAATTTAAATATTATATTAATTATCCAGTCAATCAGGCAGCTAATAGATCGCCCAACATTCTAGTTATGGAAATAGTCTTAGTTAGCTATGGAATCAGTCAATCAAACAGTCTATCAATCCGTTAAATCTGTGCTGTCTAAATAATTCCAGCTTCTGTTGAGTCTTTACTAATCAATCAGTCAATCAATCAATATACCAAAAGTTTGAGTTAACAAATTCCACAAAAATCTTTAATATTCTATAAATAAATCATTCATTAAATTAATTGATTAATATTCTCTGTCCATATTCAAAGTCATAATCTAAATCTATCTTACATCATTTAATAACTTTTACTTTATTATTTAGTCAACCAATTAGTCAGTCTATCACTCTGAAAGTTCTAGACGAGCCCATTCTATGCTTTAGCTGACAAACACCTCGACCATTGCTTAACTCTAATTTCAGACTCAGATTCTTAAATTTCATAAGTCTTCCACTACAAATTCTTTTTCGCTCTTTAGATTTCTAATGAATTTTCGACCCCTTTGCATTAGAGAATACACACACACACACACACACACATACAGACACGCACATGTGTATGTGTTTATTGTATATGTAAATAAACTCGATAAATGGTTCTGCGATCAGGTTTCAATTTGTTCCGAGTCTCCCCATTATTGTTGTTGTTGTTGTTGTTGTGGCTGCCTTTTTATTGAATTTTTATGCAATTTTGTTAACTGGATCAATTATTTCAATTGCGTGTTCAGTAAACACAGACGGCGTCCGTGACGCAGACGCCCCATCAATAGTGGACAGCGGTCAAGCCCCCTTTGTGCCACCACGCCATGCCACCGCTGCCACACCCAATTTGACAGGCCGCAGCGAGCCAAACAAACCCAATCCCTAAGTGCTCCAACGTCGCTCGAACGTCATCGCCCGAGTGTTATATTTTACTTATTTGTAGTTTTTATTTTGTATATTCCTCATATTTAGCTGGCATTGTTTTGGCACGCTCTACAAATTGCGCGCCTTCGCTGCAGAAATCTACAGAAACAGCTGCTAAACCATTTGCTGAAGCTACCCTAGATACCCTGGATACACATAGACTTACATATATATATGCTATGTAGCTATACACATGCACAGGGACATATAGACTGACTGTATGTTGCATGCAACAGAGCCCAGGTGGACCCCACCCTTAGTACTCGCAATTGCTATACCCTGCAAGCTTTGAGAGTATGCAAAGTGGGCATATGTGCTTAACAGATAAAGGATGGCATGGCTGAGCTAGACAGTATGAGTCAGTATGTAGTCTATCTCTGTCTGCCTACTTTGCATCTACACACATTTCTAAAGGCGTTCAACTAGAAAAATATAAAATCTAGAGATTATAACGTAAGAGAGGCCTTCAAATAACATTCTTAAACGTATTCTTGATCATTAGCTGAGTACATATAGACGGTTCTTCTGCCGTCTAACCGTGCATCCATTTGGCTATTTATACCTCTATCCATATCGATCTATTTAACTAGACATCTAACTGGAAACGTTAACACATTCATAGCTCAAGGGTATCAAGGGAGTTTTAGAACTACAAAACAGTAAGTAACATATAAAATTTATAAGAAAAATACAAATAGGAAATTAGTCAAAAGATTTAAGCAATGCTGTTTCAGTACTCTATAAAACTAATAGCTAAAATTGAAAATTGATAAAAAAAAAAATACCCATGTACAATTAGAGAAGAAAGAAAATGAAAATGCGAAAATTAAATTAATTAAAAATGTATCACAGATTTTGTTAAAGCTCTATATAGAACTATTTATAGTCTCTCAAAGTTAAATCAATCAAAGTTAAGCTAGCCATAGGGTATTTGCTAGTCGTGCACTCGCCACACATATGCTCTTCCTTTTTACCTGGCCGACAACGTGCCAGCCACATACCTTTAGGGCGGACAGCAACAAGAACAACAACAACTACAGCGAATGGTACATGTTTTTCTGCTTTATTTACTGCAAAATCGAGTTCACTTTTGGGTAGTTCTGGGTTGGGTTTTGTGTTGCGTCGGCTATGGGGTGTTTTTTTTTTTTTTTCAAGTTTGTGCTTCAGCTCGAGCTGTCTGTTGGCCGTTCTTTGATTTCCTCTTTTCGCTTTCAATTGGGGCCAAGGTCTGCAATGCTTCACTTGTTCAATTAACAAACAGCGAAATACCATTGATTAATATTGAAAAGGTCAGGGTTTGCTTTTGGCAGTCGATAGGTTTCACTGCACAGCGGGCTTAGTATTAGCAAGGCATTCAGATTGTGTATAAGAAAATGCAGAGTATTATCCATATTATCGCCATTTGATTGACTCTCAATCGAAATGTGAAGAAGTAAAGTGAGTTCGATTGCCTCTTCCAGACTCTCCCAATTGGCTTCACACACAATTCTTCTTTAACTGCAATCAGTTATATTTATTGATTCGCTGGATGGGCCAGCAACAGTTATTGCAAATCGAACGAATCGACTGAAGAATCAAGAAAACAAAATGCCCATAAAAGCGGGTCAACAATTGCAGCACTTGTCGCACTTTTAATTCACGACAATCAGGCGGCAACTTCCATTTTCCATTTTGCGATTATGAGCGAATGCGCCAAATGAAACAGAAAACATTTCTCCTCAAAAGTGTACTGATGGAATAAGAGATACTCTGTTTGCGTTGTCTTAGATATACTTTTGAAATGTTGATACAAGTAAAGCTCTTGCTAAGACTAATAGACCCATTCGCTTTAAATAAGGATGTAGCATATGATATCCTAAAGAATAATTATCATTAATAATATAGCTTAAATATCATTATCATATATACACGACAGGCATATATCTACAATTATTATTATATTTTTTATATACCAAAGTGTTAAATACTGGACAGTATCAAAATCGCATTCATTGTCCAACAAACCAATATACCCTTTAAAAAAAAAAACAGTGCCTAACAAACCTAGGCTCACATTAATTAAAACCAGTTGGATCCGGATATTACTGCATGCAAATTTATAGGTTTTTAATGTGCAGATAATTCTGAGTTTGAGATACTTTCTAGATATTCTATGGAATATGAAAACTGTCGTCGTGCTTGAAATTGACTCCCATGTGGCTACACTTCGTTCTATGTAATTCTATCTAAGCTTTGGCATTCTGCAGCTGGAAACAAAGTTCGAGTTTCGCTAGGAAGTAATTTGATATGATCTACGACAAGTGAAATATTTATTCGATTGCTAGAATATTTTATGTAGATTTGCTGTCTTAAATTCAATGCAATTTCAGTAAAAAATTCTGGAAAACTCTTCTCTGTACTAGTTACAATATACCCTGTAATTTGTAGGGTATATTGTTATCAGTATCTTTTTATAAATTCTATGAAATTTCAGTAGAAAATTCTTGTTTTAGGTATTTTCTACAGTATACCCTGTAACTTATAGGGTATATTTATACACCCTATCTTTTTATATTCACATATTTCTTTACATAAATTCTTTATCTTTTCTTATTACTTTATTTCACATTATAAAATTCTAGATCTACAAAATACAGGGTATATACAGTATTTCCCCTGTTTCCGTTGTTGCTTTCGTAGAGTTTTATGACATAAATTATTTTTCCATTGTTGTACGTGGCTGATAAAGCGACTGATCTTAGAGTAGGAAAAGAACAAGAAGAAGAGGAAGCGCATTGTATGAGACACGCGATATACCCTTGAATAATTCATCAAATGCCATGGACAATGCAAACAAATGAAAGCAATGTAAATGCAAACATATTTCGAACAAAAAACAACTTTAGATATACATACAGATATATAATATATATGTACATACATAGGGGCAAATTGTTATAGTTGTAAAAAGCTGTGCACAATGTGCGATAAGCCATGTCGATGACGACGAGGGCGCTCAGCTCCAAAAGGCCAATAGCCGCTGTTATTTACACTTGCTAAGGGCGGAACTGGGGCGAGCGGAGCCAGGAGACTTTCCCTTTCCCTTTCCCATTTTCTTGCTCTTCTTTTGTTCTTCTTTGTTTTGTTGTAAACACGTGAAGTGAAGACACGATCATATGATTTTATTTATGCGTGCGTATCCGTGGGTTATCTATATACGTATTTATTTACACGAATGCGAAATATTTGCTCTTTTTGCCAGGCAATGCAGCGCAAGCTACGCGACGCGGAAAAGCAAACTGCTACAGCTGCTGCAGAGCAACAACAACAACAACAACAACAACAACTGCAGCAATTGCAATTACAACTACAACAGCAGCGCCAGCATATGGAGCAGAATGTGCTCGAGTTAACCCCGCCGGCCACGCCCCCAACACCAATGCCGCCCAATTCGCCCACCAGCAGCGTTGCAAGCAGCGTGGACTTGAAGCTGGTGAGCCTTATAAAAAATAAACAACAACAACAGTAATTTTATCTCACTTTTTCTCTCTTTATCTTCCTCTCTCTCTCACACACAGCGCACGCGTCGCGAACTCGAGCGCAATCGCGAATTCGTCTGCTCTCTGCTGGTCGCCTATGAGCGCAGCGAGAAGCTCTGGAATCCCAAGCATCCCGACTACAAATACAATGCCAAGCGCAGCGTCTACAATGAATTGGCCGCGCCCCTACAGGCCGTCTTTCAGATACCGCTAACCGGCGCCGAGGTCTTCGCCGTGCTGAAGGAGCTGCGCGGTCGCTACCGGCGCGAGCTGAGCAAACTGAACTCGTTGGGCGACAAGTACAAGTCGCGTCTGTGGTACTTCGAGAAGATGCACTTCTTGCGAGGCGTCATTGAAGCTAAGAGAGCCGAGCGAGAGGCAAAGGTAAGGGTTAGGGAAAAAAGGGTTGATGGGTAAATGGGGAAGATGGCTTTCACACGAAACAAAGAGAAGGAGAGGGAGAGGGAGAGGGAGAGAGAGACGTAATGATATCAGTGAAGTGGAAGATTAGTTTCACACGAAGGATAGAGAGGGAGAGGCGAAGGTCAGGCTTAAGAAGCTATCAAGGGAGATGAAACTGCCAAAGATAAGGTTTAGGGTTTGTCAATATTGATGGGTAAATTAGCTGTTTGCACTGAAAACGTGATTTCACGCAAAAAGTAAACAGAGGGAGAGAGAGAGAGAGAGAGAGAGGCTAAAGCTCTACTCATAGCCTTAGCAATAGGGTAGTTAAGGTAAAGCTAATCATGAGAAAAATGTAAATTGTGTTCACCACCCGGAAGATTGGGTTTCAAGTTTTGCCTGACTTTCTATCTCATTTTCTTAGAAATTGAGACGAGAGAGAAGAAGCAGGAATAAATCCCAAGTCGTATACATAATAATAGGGTAGGCTGGGTTCTCTACCCGGTAGAGCTGACAAGCGTGCATGGGTATCCAGTTCTATTATGAAAGTAATTCCCAGAATCGAGCGTGCTTCCGTTCTCATTTTCAGCTACATAGCTATGGGAGAAGGGAAAAGGAAGCTATTAGCCTGTGTAAAACATAGACCTGAACCCATTGAATTTTCAATTTACAGATATTAGTTATGCTTATTCTGGTTTATTTAGTATATTTATTTATAATAATAATACCATATCGAATGCTTCCCTATTCAACTATATTTACGCACAGTCTTTAATTTCACATTCATTCCCAGAACGAATCAGCTGAGAGTGAAAAGTCCTGTGAAACGGACAGCGAATCGACCACAAAGTCAGCGCAATACCGAGAGGTGCTAAGCTGTTTGATCGATGGCTTCAGGCGCCAGGAGTGTCTATGGAATCCGCAGCACTTTGACTATAACAGCTGCAGCAAGAAGGAGCTATACCGGCAGATCTCAGCGGAGCTCTTGGAGGAGCTCAACTACGAGATGAGCGGCGAGGACTGCTACAAGGAGTTGCAGAAGCTGCGCACGCGCTATCGCAAGGAGCTGCGCATGGTGATCAAGCATAAGGGTCTCTATCTGCCCAAGCTGTGGTGCTACGATGAGCTGGAGTTTCTACAGAAGATTCTTCAGGAGCAGATCTTCAATAAGATCAGCAAGGTGAGTAGTAGTAGTAGATTAAATAGAATACCATTGCCAAATATTTACGTTGATTGTTTTGTAGAAAAAGGGAGTTGTGGAATCGTATCGTCGAACCAAGTTCATTGATGCCAGCAGCATTAGCTTCGAGCTGCAGGAGGATCAGCTGCAGTTTGTGGAAATCTATCGCAACTATCCCGCCCTTTGGGATGTCGATCATCCCGATTTTCGTTCAAATGCCTATCGCACTCACGCCCTGGGCCAGATGCTGGAGGAGCTCAATACGACATTTCAAAGGACCTACACCACAGCCGAGCTGGAGAAGACTTTGTTTGAGTTGCGCAAGGACTTCTCGGCGCAGAAACGCAAGATCCTAACAAATGCCTCGGACTGCAGCAGCATTTCCTTGCTACATGCGAAACTTGGCCAGTTTCTCGAACCGAATCTGGGTCCCTTTCGCTGTGACGTGTGCAGCGAGCTGGTGAAGACCTGCGATCAGTACAAAGTACATCGGGCGGCGCATGACGGCACACAGCCCTTCATTTGCACGCTCTGCGGCAAGGGCTTCCAAATGCCCTGCAATCTGACGGTGCACATTCGGCGCCATAGACGGGACTTCCCCTACGCCTGCGAGCAGTGCGACAAGCGCTTCGCCACATCCACTGAGGTGGCCATCCACATGCGCACGCACACGGGCGAACGGCCCTACATCTGTGACCTGTGCGGCAAGTCGTTTAAGACGTGGTCGTTCTTCGATATACACCGGCGCACGCATCTGAATCAGTCGTCGTTCCATTGTCCCATCTGCGACAAGGGCTTCTATGAGAAGAATCGCTTCACCGATCACATGAATGCCCATCTGAATATACGCAAGCATTTGTGCACCGTCTGCGGCAAGACCTTCACCACATACGGCAACCTCAAGAAGCACACCGAACTCCATCTGGCCGTGAAGAAGTACAAGTGTGGAGCTTGTGGCAAGCGCTTTGCACAGTTCGCCAGTTTGCGTTGGCACAGAAAACGTGAGCACACTTCAGAGCAGCAGCAGCAACAGGAGGAGGAGCAGCAGCTGGAGCAGGAGGTGGCGGTGGAGGTCGAGGAGCAGTCACAACAATACTCTCCCACAGCCAACGTCTAATCAATTTGCCAGCTATTTACAAAGCCATTACAGGCAGTCGATTCAATTTGGCATGTACTCAGAGATACTCACTACTCAGTAGAGAACGCGTGTACTTAACACATCTTCTAAATACCACCAAGTGATCTGCCTAGCCTATAAACTAACGTCTAGCTCAAATGGTATAAATATCATATTCAATAGTTGTTAGTCTTTGGTATATCTTTTAAGCAAACGATCTCAACTTAGTTTTAATTATATTTAAGCTAGCTATGTTAGCAAATTTCTTATATCATTTAAGTACCTATATATATATGTATGTATATTATTTATTTACTTCCAGCTGTTTTTAAATTGATGTATTAGTAAGTGTTAAACGAGCATACTTAATTAGTTTATAGCGTTCCCAACTAACTTTAAACATATTCAACGCCATAGCTATAGCATAGGTGGAATATAGATCTAAGTTTAGAAATTAAGTTTCAACAGGCTTCAAATTCATATATCAATTTATGTAAAATAATATAGACAAAAGTTTTAAAATAATTATTTATATATACACAAATATATTTGAATAAAAATATATATATTAAATTATTTACATAAAAATATATACAAAAATATATATATGTAAACATATAACATAAATATTTCATTTAATAAGAATTTGTTTATTTTGCCAGCAGAAATATTTATTGTTAAATTATATAATGGAACAACGCCAAAGCATAAGGGTATATAAACATTTATATATCAAAGACCCATTTCCGATATATCAAAGATCCCATTTCAGCTGAATAATGCACCAACCTAATTGAAATGATCTTATTGTAGCAATGGAATGTAATGAATGGAAAATTAATTGCATCATTGATTCGTCTGCCAATAAACAGCGCAATGCAATGAGCAATGAACAACAACAAAATGGGGAGTGGAATTAATTGTAGCACTTATCGCTCGACTCAATAATGATTTGTCATTTATTGCCCGATATGTAATTTATTTAAGTTTTAGCATTCTTTGGCCGTATCTGCATTTGGACAGACTTTAAAGACTTGAAGCTGTACCATTGATCCCAAAAGATTCCTTGTTCGCTGTCCGTTTGGGTTTTAAAGTATTTTCCATTGAGATTGCTAGAATTAAATACAAAAATTATAATAAGTATTTTGTATGCCATGGAATATAGACTATATAGTATATATAGCAATAATGCTGCTGTCAAGTTTTAATTATTTGTTTGCTTAAAATATATTATTTCTCATTCGAATTTTTTATAGAGAATATACGAGTTTTTCAATGCAAGTCATGCATATACGATAATTAAAACTGTTCATTATGGTATTTACTAAAAGTAATAATTTTTCTTAGTGTGCTATGCAGTATATCTCTAAAGTGCATTTATAAAGCAGCACATTATTCTTTTATTATAATAATAACTATTTATTTGATATTAAAATATTGTAATAAATAAAATACTTTTATTAGTAGTTTTATAGTAAACTATTAATTGTTATATAATAGCATGCTAGTAAATTTACAGTATATGTCTATAACTGGTTTTTAGATGTAATTTTAATGATAAGTGTGGTATTTATGTTAAATATATTTACATGCTAATATGTTATTCAGTGTATAGACATATGGTATTTATAATTAGTATTCTAGATAGCATATTAAATATTTTTCTTGTTTTTATAGCACCTATTGCACACCCACCTGCGCGAACAGAAGTCATACCACCACGCCCCATGATGATACTCAGCACAATTGATGTGAGTGAATTCATCGTGATCCCTATCGTAGGTTGAGAATTTCATTTTGTCGTGCGTGCGCATTGCATCGCTGGCATTACCATGGAAATGGCCCAGTAATTTGAGTTCGTAACCCTCAGTCTCACTGCCAATCACAAAGTCGTCGTAGAAAGCGACGCGATGGCTGCCATTGAAGAGGCGCAACGATACGAAAAGCTCATGGGGCTGAAATGCCGTTAGCCTGTACAGTTTTTCCAGCCCAATGAAAAACTCGCCATTCAGCTTGCCAAAGCCGTTGCGATACTCATTCCAATTGCGATAGAAATTCACAGATCCATCCAAGCGGCGCTGAATCACCGTCCAGCCGTTGCCCTCGCAGGCCACCAAAAACGGTCGAAAATCGGGCAATTCCATTAAATGAATTCCAGACATTTTGTTATGGGGTAAACAACTATTTGTTGCCGCCTCCCAGTCGGCCAATAGATCATCTTTCCTCTCCCTTAGCTTGTATGCCAAGACTTTGACACGAGCTTTCAGCTCGTTTATCGTTGCTGCATTCGTTGCATTTTGTTTTCTATGCACAGCCAAAAGATTTTGCTTTCGCTTCAATCTCGTCTCGTAAACACTTGTTTTCAATTGCAAAGCCTTAATTTGTTCATCTCTTTCGCTCAGCGTGTGTGTGAGTGTCGTATTTTGCATCTGGCACGCTTCCAGTTGTTCCTGATATTTCTTAAGTTGATCCTCATCGGATTTGTTCCCTGACTGAAGTTTGATTATCTCGTTCTCTTTCTCATGAATCGTAGCTGCATTTTCAGCTAGTTTGTCCATATAAACATCCAACAGATCATTGAGATCATCTTTACTAATGCTAATTGTCTTATGTGCATCTATTTGAAATTCGGCTAACTTGGGTTTGGGCGTAACGGTTTGATTCACTAGTGGAACTGCGATTTGGGTAGTATTATGACACATTTCCGATTTGTTTTTAATATCTCGTATGCAATCCTTAACAGGCGGCTCCTTCTTTTTTAAAACAGAGACCGTAGCACTGAAGGAGCATGGAATGACCGAGATGATAATAAGGATGATCCACAAATTTCCCTTTTTCATTTTACTAGTTTATCTAAATAATAACTTTTAACATGCGCAAAGCTTCAAGCAATACTGAAATGAAATAAATTACTAGTATTTTATAGCAACTACTATAGATCAGGAAGCTATGCGCAGCTCAGCTTTGTTCTGATAAGAAGTTTTTGCATTGCACTTGAAATGTCTGTGGCAGATTTAGCTAGTTTATGGACAAGGTTTAAAGTCATCCAAACCCGGAATACTGTTCCTTAAAGTTCATTAACTAAAATCATAGGACAAACAAAACAGTTCGAACAGAATCAAATGTTTTAATTAATCTGAATTTAAGGTGAATTTTTATTTTCTTAATATATTTTAATGTGATTATTTATTAAATTTTCATAATTTTTTCCATTTCGCCTGTTTTATATTCCCTTTGCAGAATTTCTATTGAGAAAACAAACTTTTTTTCCCAATTCAAATAAACCGCGCTTCCAAACGAGTTGGCAGCTCCATAAAACATACTTCAGCTTGATGATATTGTCGTCCTCTTTCCACGCATCGACTACCATTCAAGTGTACAGAATTTTTCTGAACGAAAGTGGATTGTGATTTGCTCCTGCATAAAATTATGGAAAAATAGTTTTAAAAGGCTGTTAATAATATAAACAATATCAAATAAGCAATTTTAATGCTTTGTTTAATATAAATACTTGATTATTGGCTTTGAATTAATAAGTAAAATTCAAATACCGAAGATTAAAACGCGACATATTATCTCAGAGCAAAACCAGTTTTTATTCTCAAGCGACTTTCCCAACTTCGCCGTTTCATACGCATCTCATACGTCAGCAAGTGCAGTCGTGTTCTGTTAAAGTGCGTCTTAATAAGCAGAATTATTAATGAAATATTAACTAAACTATAATTTTTTAATAAAGTAAATAGTTTGTGTTAAAAATAAAAACTAAAATCATGAATATCGTGACGAAAAATGTACTCAAAAAGTCATATGAAAGAGCTGAAAAGAATGGCCAGTCAGGGTGCTCCGCTGGCCGAAGCAGCGCAGTCTCCGCTGAAGCTAAAATAACTTGATTGTGTTAGTGTGCGTTTGTGTGTGTGACATGTCGAAACACCAGCAGCAGCGGCAGCGACAGCGCAGTCAGCGTCAAATTTTCTCTACATGGAACTGCAGTTTACGAATGCAATTTGAGTGTACAAAGAAAACGAGTCTTTGTTCGTTTGAAAAGCGGCAAATGAAGGGTGTGTACATATATACATACATACATACATACAAATGTATATTCATTCTTAAAAGCATGCATGTGTGTGCTTATATCTTGTAAGAGTATTTATAGACTCCATTTTGGTGTTTATCTTCTGTTTGCTTTGCCTTTAGTTTATCTCTCCTCCGTTCGATTTCTCATGTAAATATGTACATACATATGTACGTGACTAATGGCCTCATTTTGTCTTGTACTTTCAGCTGTGACTCGTTCATACCTTTTGGTGTGTGTGGCTTGCAAATGGCGTTGAATGAATTGGGGAATCGTGGTAAGTGAACTTAATTAGGTTATGCAAGTTGTATTGGACAGTTGATCAATATTTTATTGAGAGAAAATCAATACAGTTATAAGAGAAGTTCTTAAACAAAGCGAGTCGCGCTTTACATACAAAAAATAAAAATTACTTTATTTTATTTGTATAAATATATTTGTAGTATGTTGAACTGCTTTTGTATATATTCCAAGAAAATATTTTACACATTTTAATACATTGGCCAGACCCAGACTTCATCGCGAACCTTAGTCCGTTTTCAAAGCATTCGCACTTTTATGAGACTTGCTGTTAAATGTCATTATTAGACAATATAATGTTTGCATTCCAATTGTTCAGAGTACACTAATATTTACTTAATAAGTGTGCACAACTTTAACTCTTATTTACCCAGCTAGATAATAGAATATAAAATTAAATATTGAATTAAATTGTCTCTGAAATATTCCAAGTGGAAACACTCATTTGCTATTCAAATGTGTGCTTTGCCAACTACATTCCTTGACGTAAGAATTTATTTGAATAACATGGATATAATGCAATGCAATATACAGTACATAAACACATATGCAAATAAGTACAAAACATACTATCTTGAGTACAACAACTAACAATATGACTCATATTGAACGTTCAACAATATGACTCATATTGAACTTACACAACTTATCACACAGATTAAAAATATATTTAACTTGTCGCCAGAGACCTTAGAATTGACCCGAAGTGCTCAATAAAATATTATCAATAATTTCCAATTATTATTTTTTTTTCTTACTGTCAGTTTTGCTATCAGT